CCACCCAGCTTTTCTAATATGTTACTTCAAAAAGCGCATAAAAAACATGGCTATTTTTTTTTTTCAATCCTAGTGGTCAACAAAGGGCACGGCCTACATTGAACGGGTAGGCTGGGTTCTTTGAAGGACAGCCCTGGTTTATTGTGGTGGTGGCTGACAGTTGCATACAACATGTACTATTAATGCTAAAAAAAAATCAGATGAGAGTTCGTACTATCACCGATGGTTGAGCATGATGTTATTTTTAAGGTTTGACCAAAATGGCTCTGACCACTCTGACATTTTACAACAACAACAACAGCAAATAAAAGATTTTAGTGTAAAACTCTGGCATGAAAGGCAGTAGGTTCTACATCTCCTAATGTGCTGAGGTCAGTGCAAATGTTTAATATTTCATAGCTGAGTTTTGRATTTTATTTTTACTCATGTTTAATGTAATCTTCCATTGCATCATGTTGTAACTCCTTCCTAATGTTTGTTAAATTTGTTTCTATGCAGAATGTGTTCGGGTACAGAAACACAGCTGAAGAAGTTAAAGGGGAGAAAATAGACTTGCACTGGGGTTTATTAGCCATTATTGTGGGAACACCACAAGCCTGAGCAGATAGCTGGACCTCTGATTACAGGAGCAAATCTATTCCATTTGTGAGATGAGGGTCTGTAAAAAGCAGCTGACCTGCAGTCCTGTGGACATGTCTGTTCTCAGAAATCTCATTACCCAGTGTGCCATTTATACTGAAAATGTCCTTTTTATGAATCACGATGAACATGATTTTTACAAGCTGAGATTTTCAGATTTCTTTTTTCTGAATGTTTGCTGTGATAAAGCCGACACCTTATGWATGTATTGAAAAACTGCTGCATGCATTGAAAAAAAATCTTATTAAAAAAGTCAAATTTTAGTGCTTATGAACTGCTGGTGATTTATGTTTCTTCTGTCAGTCTGTTTTATTCAACTTTTTTTTAGTTAAGTGTTGGATGCAAAAACCTCTTTTGCTGGAATAGTCATGTTCCAACAGTGTTAACTTCTCTGTCATGATTGTTTTTTTAATCATGGTTCCTCGACACCTGATGTGGATGTTGTTAATCCAAGCAACGTCTGACCTGATATAAAGCTGGCATGGTTTCTGACGCCTAATTTTAGGATTTATTTTCTTTTAAAATGTATCCTAACCATGATGTTAACATCATTTTTGAAGCAAATCTCCCTCTTCTTCRCTTTTCCTTCACATCGTTCAGGTTTGTTGGGAAACTGTTGCTGTCTGTTGCTGTTGCTCTCGCCAGATGCCRCATCAATTTCAGCGGCATCCAGGCCGGCTGTCAGACTGTCGGCCTGCCAGCGCTGACGAAGAGCGGTTGGCTGGCCGGGTCGCAAGAAGCAGACAAACACTGCCGAGGGAGGAAACACTGCGACAGCATTCCAGAAGGACACCAGTGACGCAATGACTGCGGTACGCTTCACACACGTTCATTGAGAAAACGCTGTTTTTTTCTTTGTAACTTCATTCTAGTAAATAACCAGGAAGATGCAACAGTTTGCTTTAGTTCAAAGGTTTTTATAAGTCCTTCCTGATCTTTTCAAAAGAACATAATTGTCATGAAATGAGATCAATGCCTATTAGTGTCCGATTAAAAAAAAAGTTGTCAGTTGTCCCCCTCCTACAGTGCTGCCATTGCCAGTTTCACTCCACCCCCTGTTAACAATAGGTGTTAATTACGTAGGTGTCAACGGTAGTCATGTAATGTGAGTATCAGTCACATGGAGGCAGTGCTTAAAAGCCTGAATTTTGCCTGAAACTCTCAGACTGAAGAAGTCTCTTGGAGGAGAGACGAAACGTTTCATTAGAGAAGAACCCGTCCAGAAGACCTATACAATTTTTTTCTTTTTGATTTTTACCTGGATTACTGAGATGCATCAGGACTATTAGTGTCTGATTGTTTCATCTTGAAGTTTAAAGTCCCAGCTTTTATATCTGATATTCTAACTTTAAATAATCCTGATATATTGACGTATATGATCTAGTTAAACTCATGTGAGTCACTAAAGCAAAAAAAAGTTTAAAGGCCCCTACAAAAAATTATACATATTTTTAAATTAATTTTTGTGTACTGAAAAGGAGTCAGTAGCTTTAAGAATAGGTTATATAAAAGTAATAGAACATTATAAAGACAAGTAAATAAA